ATAATATTCATGGCTTCCCCTTGCAGTCTCTTTCTGGTGTCCCTTGTCCTCCTGTTAACATTCCAGACATTTTCTTCTCCAACTCAAGACTGCTTGTCACTTGGCCCTTTCATGTGCTCCCACACTTGGCATTTTGTGCCCACTTCATTCAAATGCTTGCCATGGGATATGGAGATGTGGGCACCTCTTTATCTTCCAAGGAGATTAGAAGGTCCTTGAAGAGATGAATTACATCTCATTCATCCTTGGAATCCCCTATCCTAGACTAGGGTGCATGTAGCAGGGGTTCAGGGAACAGTTACCCAATTCAGAAATGGCTGTCTTGAGCTAGAATATCTTGTACTGAGCTCGTCTTGGCGAAAGGTACAGGTCTACCTCCTTAAGGGAAATACACTGCGCATAGACCTCTCTGGGAAAGGCTAAGCTCTGAATAATGAAGAGATACTTTTCCACTTATATCCACAAAGTTCTGTTGAGAGACACAGTCACAAGAGAGTACGTGTTCAACTTTTAGGGAGTCTGACTTTTGGGGAGTTTTTGCCTTAAGAGAATGCCACTTCCCTTCTGACACATTTGTTTCCCTACACATGGTGCCTTCAAATCCTGGTTCTCCATGATTAGCTCCCTTCTGCCTGTGCCTACCGGATCCCCAACCTGCAGTTTTGGTATTAGAACAAGATCAGGATGGAATGACTATGATCTAATCTGCAAGTTATCAGACTCTGCAGCAAATCTGCACTAGGAGATAAAACACACACGGAGACCTTCCCACACAGAGACCATGGGACCATTCTCCTAACTTTTCCGATTCCCTCTTCTTCAAAACATTGCTCTGGACAGGTTCTGTTATTGATTCAATCATGACAGGGGAAGATAAATTGAAGAGAGGATTTTTTTTCAGGAGGAAAGAAAAAGGAAATTTATCGAATTTGTGTACAGTGTTATAGGACATTACGTGAAGAAATAAAACCTTCAACTGAAAGGATTCGAAAAGGATGGTTTTATATATAAGAACATTAAATATTAAAATGTAAATTTGGAAATTATATGGAAACATGAAATTTCCTAAGTCAGCAGATGCAGTGATAGTGTTTTGTATTTCATGGACTCTTAAACCTTTGGCGGCACTGTCGGGTTTATCTGGAATAGTAATTTTTTATACGTTACTCAGCCAACTAGGCTTTCTAGTCAAAGTTTTAGGAAAGCGAGGAGGCAGGAGAGGATCAAATAAAACAAACCTGGCTCTGGACTTGAATACAGCATAAACCCGGGGCTCTGCTTTCCCTTGTCTTTCCTTACGTTGGGTTCTCTCCGGAGAGTAACATACAAACACATTCCAGGGGTGCAGATGACCCTGGTGCCCGCAGCATCTGCCCCCTGCAGTCCAGCCTCGTCCAGCTTTGCTCTCCCTCTCTCATGCCCAAATTCCTCCCTTCTGCAGACACCCACCCTGACCACTCTGCCTACTCACTGCTTCCCGCATCTTCACAAGTCTCCAGCATTTCTCAGTTTCTGTGCAGTCTCCACAGGCCATTGCTGACTGCCCGAGATAAAGGGGTGTCCGTTGGTTGCCTTTGAGGTCATGCGAGAGCGGACCCTAGCTCTGCCTCTGAGATGCACCACTTCATGCCAGAACTAGTGTCCTTGTTAACTGAATTCATTTCTCTCCTTCTAGACTCTGCATAAAGCTTCTGCGCAGGGACATGCTTCAACAAGAAGGTAGGTGGCATGGAAGCTCTGGGTCAGGGGGGAAGCCTGGCCTGGGAGTGAGCATTCAGGTAGATGTAGAAGAGAAAATTTTGGAAAATTGGAGACAAAGGGTAACCCAAATAAATTCTGAAAGGATGGGTGTCAAACTTTTTCCTCATGTCCTTGGATGAAAACAAGCTAGGCTTGAAGGCAGTGCGGTGCTGATTCCTGCTCACAGCGCCATCTCTTACAGATGGAAAGCCCAGACAATCCATGAGCAGTTGACCAAGAGCTTAGAGTTGGCAGACTTGGGGTAATTGTGGAATGGGATGCTTCTTTACTCAACAGGTATTTACTATGCAACCAAACGTGGGGTATCTTTGCTTTCCTGAAGCTAATCCAGAATGATGAGAAGCCCCTTCCTGGAAGTATGTGCATTAAACACAGCAAGACAACATACAACAGTCTGGATTGTCTATTAACCAGAGTAATCAGGGTTTAAAATTTTTTCATTAATTTTTTTTACATTATTCACTTTTGTACAGTATTAAAAAAAATTATATATTTATGCATACAAGAACTGGGGTACAGGGCCTCCCCTGTGGCGCAGCGGTTGAGCGCGCTGGGCTGCAAAGCTGCCCTCAGCCTCTGCAGCGCTGGTTCCATTCCCGGCCACCGGGTGAGGGTCCCACATGGTGCACAGACCTCTCCTGCCACCCGCTGCTCCCCTCAGCAGTGTACTTCATCAGTCTGCCTGCTCTGTTCTCTGCTCTGACTCTGGTGAAATCTCTCACCCTTCCACACTTCTGACTGTACCCAGTGCTTGTACAAATAAATAAATATTAAAAAAAAAGAACTGGGGTACAGGCCAGAGGTGCAGGGGGCATGAGAGGATTCACAAAAGAGCAGGGAACAGGCAGACTGACTGAAATACACTGCTGAGGGGAGCAGTGGGGAGATGGACAGGTCTGCTGCACCATGTGGGTAGCTCCCTGCTGGGGATTGAACTCAGACTCAGTCTTGATAGAGCTGAGAGTTAACCCCTAGGCCACCAGGGAGACCCTGTACAGTATTTGATTTATGTTCCCGGTGTAGTCCCCTTAGTATTCCCACCACCGTAATCGGGGATTTTCACACAGATAAACATGTCACAGGCTCAGAGATGAAGCCAAGGTTTATTTTCTAGGGACCCGTGGAGGGATGGGTCCTGATGGATTGCACGCTGGGGAAAGCCAGGGTGCTGTCCAGGAGGAGACGGGAGGTCTGCTGTAAATGTCCTGAAGTTGGGCCATGGCGGACAGTCGAGTGAAAAATGGAACATGAAGCAGCCCTCCGAGCATACCTGGCGCAGAGGAGATTTGGGGTTGGGGATAATAACTTTTAAAACGTTAACAGGCAGCATGGTCTCCGGAACTTAGCAGCAGGACTCAATAAATGTGTGCTGTGAGACTCCCCAGCGTGGACCCCCATGCTATGCTAACTAAATGAGAGGGTATCAACTACCGAGGAAAAACTAGGATCTGCGTGGACAGGAGGGGCTGGCTGGGGACGAGCGAATGTGCTGGAAGGACCTGGGAAGCAGAGGTGATGACATGGACCAGCCTGTGCCCAGATAATCGGCATCTGGAGAAACCACGGTTAAGGATGGACAAGAGACACGCGCCGAGTCCCACGGACCGAGTGAGAAAAACGAAAACGCAAGCACTTAGCAGGGATCTCTCCCCCGCGCCAGCCTCCAGGACGCAGCACCTAGATATCAGGTGAAATCAAGCACCAGGGCGAGGAAAACAAACGTGCACCAGCTCCGGCGCGTTCGCCCGGGCGCCCGCCCCAGCTGGCCGGGGTCCGCGCGCCCTCCCCGTGCGCGCACCAGGCACCTGGGACGCTCCTATTTAGGGAGCCCCGCAGGGGAGGACACGGCCTGCGAGCGAAGAAAGTAGAGCCAGGGCGGTCCGCGGAGCTTGAAAGGGCAGGACTATCACCCCAGAGCGGTAAGTTCTGATTAGTTTTATGACTTCGCCTTCACGCCGCAGGCGCTCCATTGATCAGGCCTCCTCGACAGGTGGGGCTGGGGTGGGGGTGTCAGGAGGGCCTGGAAGGAACCGTCCAAACTCTCCTCCGGCTCGGCGCTTTCAGATGCAAATACCTGGCGGCGAGATGGATGGGCTGCAGCCCCTCCTCCTTTGCCCGCGCCTCTGGGTTTTCCTGCGAAGGACTCGCTCCGCACCGCTCAGAGGCGAGGGCGCTGGAGGCGGGGTGCGCGTGTGTGCGCGCCCGGCTGTGCGCGCGTGGCGGCGGGCGGCTGCCTCTCCACTCGCCCTCGCCGGGTCCCCGCCAGGTGCCCAAGTCTCCGTGGCTGCCCGGGCCGGGCTCGCCCTGCGCCCGCGCTGACCACCGTGCCCTCCGGCCCCAGCCTGTCCGGCGCCCTCTCCCTGCTCCCGGCGCTCGCCTCCCCGGACGCGCGCTCCCGCTCGCCCGGACCCGGCTTCCGAGCCGACCCGGGGAGCCGGCGGGGCACCTGGGAGCCGGCGGCGGCGGCGGGCTCCCGGCGCCCCGCGGAGAGGACGGCGAGAGCAGCCGGAGCCCGCGCCCCGCCGGCCGCCGCCAGCCCGCCCCGCTCGCCGAGCCGCGCGCACCGGGTCCCGAAGCGCCCGCGGGCGCCCAGCCGCTGAGCGCGCGCCCTTCGGATGCCCACAGCCGGCTCGCGGGCGCCGGACGCCGCCGGGAGGGCAGCCGGGCCCCAGGTGAGTGTGTGCCCGGGGCAGAAGCGCGCCCTGGCCGCGCGCGGACTCCGCGGAGAGCAGCCCGCGGGCCGGGGGAGCCCCCGGGTGGAGTTTCCCGTGGCGTCCTCAAGTTCCTGCTGCGTGGCGCGGCGACGTGGCTCCGCGGGGCGGGACAGCCTGGGGTCCGAGCCGGCGGTGCGGGCGCCGGAGAAGCCGGGCGCACCCGCGCCAGGTGCGACGCGAGTTGGCGAGTGGAGCGGGAGCGGCCCCCGGCACGCCCCAGAGGCCGCGGGCAGCGCAGGCTGGACCGCGCTCCCCGGGAGCATCACGAGGGGCCCCGGTGATCTGGGGTGAACCCGGGCGAACTCCGCGCTGGCGGGGCCGCCGGAGCCTGCGGGGCGCGGAGACCGGAGGGGGGGGTGTGCCTGCGTGCGCAGGGGACCCGCGAGCCGTCCCTGGCCGCGTCCTGGTGCCTCTCCTGAAGGTGGAATTCACCCAAGACGCTTCGCCTTCCCTGCCATCAGGATGCTGCTGCCACGGTGCTGCTGCAGGGCTCGCCTCCGCCGCGCTGCACCTTAGGTGTGCGCGGGGACAGGGCGCCCTGCGCCTCTGAATGCGCGCTGGACCGCCTCGCGGGGCACCTGGTAGCCCGCGGGTTGCCGGTGTTCCGCCTCGGGCATGGATTCTTGGGAAGGACCTATTGTCTGTATTGGCTGCACGTTTTAGCTCGTTCACCGCACGGATTTCTTAGATGTAGTTCAGGTGAGTAGAGACGGGCAGGAGTTGCCCCAGCAGCGGGCGAGTGGGAACCTGAGGACAGACTATCAAGGATTGGGTCTCTCCAGGTTTTGGAGATCTGCAAATTGAACCACGGATATACTTAAAACACCTTTTATGTTCTAAGAACTATCATCTCTCTATTAGACATTAAGTGGAGTAGCTTTTAGTAGCACTTGCCTGCACCATTCCTGTAACCAGAGGGTGCTCAGGCCAGTGGACACGCAGAAGTAGATGCACAGAACATTTTGGGAAAACAAAATAATGCAAGGTGCGAGTAAGTGAGGCTGCTGAGTGATACGTATGTGTCTTGAAAATCAGAGTAGTTGCACAAAAACACAAAATGGGATAGAGTTTCGGGGTCGCAGCGGCCCTTTTATAAAGGAAAGTTTGCACGCCGGCACTGGCAGCACCATCTGATTAGTTTTAAGTGTGTCTTTCTGCAGACAAGTTGGGGGAAAAGAGCTGAGAAAAAAGTAATTGCATTGGAAGCTTTCAGCATCTCACCCCAAATTACTTCTTTCCTAAAGAACGAGTTAGACTTTATGTTTACCCAAGCTCTTTTCTTGGTACTGTAGTGAAGAAGCACATTAAGAATTATTTCTTCGTTTTTAAGGGCTGTTTGGAAAGGTATGCATTAAAATGCAAAAGATTCAAGCATGCCAGCCAGGGAGTTTAAGGAGCAACTTTTTCCTGCTTCTGTGCTAGTGCTTAATTGGGAGTGGAGCTGGGGAAGCTTAGGGAACAGCCAGCCTTAATAGTCTTATCTGGACTCGCTAGCTGAAGTCTGTCTGTGGAAGGAAAAATAAAGAAAACCATAATCAGGAGAGTAGCTCAGCGCCCTGCTAAAGCCATTAATGTGTGCAGCTTTAATAAAAGGACACTGTGTATTTCGAATGTGAGGTATTATTGTAATTAAGGGCTGCTTTTGGTCATTAGAATCGTGTTAACAATCAGCTGACAAACCCACAACTCTTAAGTCTACTTTTATTGATTTACTAGCACAAAGCTTTCCCTTTTCCTATACAAGGGTCATTGTGAAGCAGCTCTATCACTGCAGTTTACCCTTGAATTGACTCCAGTTTTTAGTGTCCGATGAAGAAGGGAGTGGGGAGCTGAGTCGGCACTGTAGGGGGTGATTTCTTTGCTATTTAACTATCACTGGGCATTGGAGTTATTTTGCAGGCGAAGCTGATAGAAACTTCTCAGAAGGTATATGCTGATAGGAGGAAGGGACTGCATCTTTGTGTCAAGTTAAATACTTTCATTGTCAGATGGTTAGAAATCGTTTCTAAAGTACTGAATCTATGAATTGTTTGGTAACGTAAATATTTATGCCTGAGTGATTCCAGCCTTGGTGCATTTTACAAGGTTTTGCATTTACTCTGTTTGTAGTCTGCTTCACGTCACAATTCTCTCTCACACACACACAATTTTGTTTTTTTTTTTTTTTTCCTTGCTTGGAAGAAAGGCTTCAAAGCCTTAGCTAAAATTGGGAGTTTTAGAAACTTCTAAAATAACTAACACCCATTATGTTGATTGCAAAGGGGCTGTGGTAGAAGCTTTTTTCTTTGGCGTGAAGGCATCAGTTGCTACTAAATGAGGTGATAAAGGGAAGCTGAGGACAAGAAAACAGGACATGTGATCAGAGTCCCGTGTGTGACCATCTTGTCAGCCTCTGACAAGCAGAGCAGATCTAGCTGTAACCAGCAATACTCGGGTGCCTCCTCTGGGAATTTGCTGGTGCTGCAGAATGAAACCCCTGCAAGCGTTTCCCCCTTGTCATTCTGCAAGTCTACTTACTGATAAGACTATCAGTGCAAATGAACATGTAGGCATCTGTCTGTACATTTATTTCAGATTATACTCTAGATTTTCATCCTGGGAGAATTTCTCTTTCGAGCTGTTTTGCCAAGTGTTTATTGAAACATGATGTCTTTTATTGAAGTCACATAAATCATACCTGGCTCAATGTAAAGGCAAGGGTAAATTAAAAATTAAAATTAGGACAGCTGAGAGTTCTTGTAAAAGTAGAAAGAAAAAAGCCCTTTGAAAGTAATTTTACTATGTTGACATGATATAAATAGCATGGATGGACTTATTGGTTACTTTTATTTTCTTGAATTTACCTAGGTTTCTTCCAGTTAATTATAAACTGTTGTTCCTCTTTTTCCTTTCAACCATTGTAGAGGTTATTTCTTTGAAATTGCCTCAGTAATCCACTTAGAGAAGTTTCCATTCCATGTCTGATAACCAGATGCACGCTACAGACTGTGTGATTCATTTCCAGGGCCCCTGCCTGAATATTTAGGCCAGTTAACCGTGGGAGGTTGTGGTCTGTGGTTGTAATGTTATCTGGCCCAGGGAGCTAATGGATCTGATCACAGTTTCTTTACATGAGAAGTCACATATCACACAGGGTCCCCGCCTCACTAATTAAAATGTAAAAAAATGTTCCTTTTAAGTCCAAAAGGAGGGGACTGTTTCGTTGGTTTGAAAATTATTGAAGATGCTGATAAACTTTAAATGGCATAGAGAGGAAACTACTTAAATGATCGTGTATTTCTGTCCCAGAAGGTGAAGATGCCAGCACTGAATCTATAATAATTGAAATGGGTACATGAGTAACAAGCAGTTATCTCAAAATCTAGGATTGATAGTGACAACCTAAATACCCTGTAGAACCCCATATTTTCTCCCTCTCTCTTTTTATCTCTTATAGCCTAAGATATTTTCCTGCCATGGTACCCTATTTCTAAGATCTTCAATAGGCTCCTGTTCCAGTGTCAGTGAAAATAGTATTACTGCTATAGTATCACAGTCTACTGGGGTGGTTTTTTAATCACCGAGCTTTCTAGATGGTCAAAGGCAACTTTAAAGTTGCATTCTGCTGATTTTTTTGTGACCTGTTAAGAGCATCTGCAGCAGCCCATTCCTTTATCCTCTTCCCCTGCAGCCTGACCTTCTGGATGGTAAACCTAGTCAACTCCTGCTTTGAAAATGAAACTCACAGTCATATGAAAATTTGAGTAGGATCAATTCTGTTTTTCTTGGCTTTAGCAAAGATGATTGATTCCAAAGATAATACATTGAAAAGATTCATTCTCAAAATGAGAAACATTTAATAAATTGAACTTTAAATTGTCTATTGCATCCAATCATGCCCAGTCTCATAGGTAACGAGCTGTGGGACCTTGGCCATTTCACTAGATTCTGTAGATTGCATTTTTGCTTTTCATAAACAAGGAAGAGATTATCTTGGTTTCTTTTGACTATTTGCTCCAGTTCACATGCGGTATTCACCTGTGGGCCCACCTCCAAGGAATTTTAGATGTCAGGGGCAGGTAGTTAAGGGGGTGCTTTATGGTTTCTTCTCCATCATGAAACTTCAGGGGAACCAAGTGATCGCCTTGACTAACTGCAGGTAGGCATTGCCCTTCATATCTCAGCCTATTTGCAGTGGTTGGAAATGAATCGTGACCAGCTCTTAGACGACGCCTCATCCGCGACCCCTTCCTCTCTACCTCGTATGCCCCGGGCTCACTCGTGAAGGGGAGGAGGTTAGGACATAATCGTTTGCTCTTTTTGCTCTCCCAGATTTATTTAGTGGACTACTTTAAAAGTAAGTGAAGGAAACAACAGATACGTGTTTTCAGTGTTTTCCTTTTTGCAAAGCCAAGTGCTGTAACTTTGTGACCAGGGAGAATCACAGTGAGGACCTCCATGGTGACAAGTGGCTGCTGTCTCGGGGAAATCAAGGGCAAATGAAGGTCTTTAGAGAAGATATTGGATGCATCAGATGGCAATCTCTTCGCTGAATTTAGATGATGCCATTCAATACCCAAGGGGAAGCCAAAACAAGCAGACGTGTCTTCCCAGACTAGACAGAAGAACTTGCAGGTGGAAGTTTGTCTTTACAGCCACGAGAACGGTCTGCCCGCGCCCTTCCTGCTGCTGAGCAGAGGTTCCAGTTCCACTTGGAAGGGTGTGGGCTCCTCTCCCTTCATCAGGATTCATTCACTGTGTTGCGTGTCAGATTGTAGTTGCACTTTAAAGCAGTCTTGGAAATAAGTTTCTTTACCACAGCAAGTTTTTTTTTTTTTTTTTCATTTTGTTCTTGTGGCAACTATGATTCATATCGTATTATGCTGGGCCAGCAAAACATCTGGGGATAGCAGGTTCTGGGGGTGTCTGGCAGTCAACTGTGGTGGATATTTTGATTCTCAAGGATTATGTTCTATCTGTCCTCAAATGTCGGTCATAGAACTTTCCCAGAAAATGCAAATTATTGAGCTACTTTGGGACTAACTTGTTCCCAGTTGGGAACAGTACCCGTTTTTTAAAAAGAGGCACAACTTCTGTGCCTCAGCTTTGCCAGGAGGTTATGCACAGGGTGTTAGTGGGGCGGGCCTCAGTCACCCAGTCACTCCTGTGTCAGGAGGCATCTTCCAGACACGGAGGGCAGGGGCAGCCATTCCTGCCCTTAGAGCGATTATAAGGATATAAAGCCTTTAACAGAGAGAAGCCTGGACTGCAAAACATAATCTGGTTTAAGTGCCACAAAACCTAAAATAGTAATATATTTCCTTTTACTACAATCGATAGGCATATGTTAAGGCTCACATTTTTTCTAGAAGGTATAGAGCTCTGTGTCCCTTTTTAAAATTCAGGTTAGCATATTCATTGGCCATCGGATGTGTGCTTAAGACTACCCCTGTGTGGCCATGCATTAATGTGAGTGGCGGGATATGATGTATGTTATGTGGCCTGTCATGTTTTTAGCATGTTGCCTGCATGTAAATAGAACAGACTCTGGGTGATTTTCACTTTTGCTCATTAAGAATTGGTGTACTGATGCAGAAGAAAATACATTTTTGTTAGGAAGGGGCTTTTAGTCATTGCTGTTAAGCATCCACAAAACATTTGATTAAGAGGGTGATAGCCACTTGATCTGATTTTTAGAAGTGGTTTCACAGAAATGTTAA